TCTGGTTGGTGATTGGCCAGTCCTCTAATTTGTCAAGGTCTCTCTGCGGGGTCTCTCTGCTCTTGAGGGAGTCGACACCTCCTCCCAGTTTGGTGTCATTGGCAAACTTACTTAGTGTTCCTTTCAGTCCTGTGTCCAAGTCATTTATGAAGATGTTGAAGAGTAATGGGCCTAAGATGGAGCCCTGCATAACCCCACTAGTGACAGGTCGCCAGTCTGATGTCACCTCATTCACTATTACCCTCTACGCTTGACCAGCGAGCCAATTGCTCACCCACTGCATGATGTCTTTATCCAGCTGTGGGCTGGACAGTTTGTCCAGAAGGATCCTGGGAGATACGGGATTAAAAGCTTTACTGAAATCCAAAAAGATTACATCAACTGGCTTCCCTTGATCAAGCAGGTGGGTTACCTTGTCATAGAAGGAAATCAGGTTTGATAAGCAGGACTTCCTCTTATGAAGCCATGCTGGCTGTGACTAATGACTATGTTGTCCTCCAGGTATTTTTCAATACCTCCCGGAATAATCTTCTCCATAAATTTACCAGGCACTGAAGTGAGACTGACAGGCCTGTAGTTTCCGGGATCCTCCTTCTTGCCCTTCTTGAAAATCGGGACAGCATTCACCAGCTTCCAGTCAGCTGGGACCTCTCCGGATTCCCAAGACCTCTCAAAAATAATTGAGACAGGTTTTGCGATGACATCACCAGGTCTTTGAGGCTTTTGGGATGAATCCTATCAGGTCCCAGAGATTTGTAGGCATCCATCTGGAGCAGCAGATCCCGCACAATTTCAGGGTTGCCTGGGAATTGATCATTCTTGCTGTCATGGTCCTCCAGCTCAGGGCATTGAGACCCCCTTGGTCTATCATCCACGTTGAAGACAGAGGCAAAGAAAGCCTTAAACACCTCTGCCTTGTCTCTGTCCCTGTTTGGGAGGTGACCATCCTCATCCTGGAATGGGCCGATGTTATTTCTGCACTGCCTTTTCCTACTGATATATTTAAAGAAGCTCTTTTTATTTTCCCCCACATTTCTGGCAGCTTCAACTCCACATGTCACTTGGCCTCACTTCCACTGGGCATACACCTTCCTTTTTTGCCTTATGCCCAAGAGAAGATCTCTGATCAGCCAAGTTGGCCTTCTGCCTCACCTGCTTGGCTTCCAACATTTGGGAATTGCCTGTTTCTGTGCCCTTAGGAGGTGATGTTTGAAAAGTGACCAGCACTGATGGACTCCAGCACCTGCAAAAACATTTTCCCAAAGGACCTCACTCACTAATTCCCTGAGCAGCCTGAAGTTTGCTCTCCTCATGGCCAGGGTTGAGGTTTTGTTGGCACTTTTCCTCCTGTCAACAGACAACAGAGATTTTAAACTCGATTTCCTTGTGGTTGCTGTGGCCAAGACGGCCTCCAATCCCCACTTTGCTCACAAGATCCACCCTGTTGACAAACAGCAGATCAAGGAGGGCATCCTTCCAAGTTGACTCCCTTAGAACCTGTTCCATAAAGTTGTCATTCAGGTTTTTTAGGAATCTTCTGGCCCAGGTTGTACCAGCTGTGTGATGCTCCCAGTTTATTTCTGGCAAGTTGAAGTCCCTTGTAAGGACAAGGGCAGTTGACTTGGAAGTGTCCCTTAGTTCCTCAAAGAATAATTCATCAGTGTCATCATCCTGTCTGGGAGGTCTATAGCAGACTCCCATGGTGACATTGGTATTATTTGTTTGCCCCTTGATTCTTACCCAGAGGCTCTCAACTGTGCCATTGCCAACTGTGAGCTCCAGACATTCTAACCTTTCTGTTACATACAGTGCCACACCTCCGCCTCTTCTGCCCTGCCTATTCCTCCTGAAGAGCCTGTAACCAACCGTTCAACTGGCCACTCCAATCACAGGTCTCATCCCACCAGGTTTCTCTTATGCCAATGATGCCAAATCCCTGGGAGTGGGCCAAAGCTTTGAGCTCCTCTTGTTTGTTCCTCATGCCATGTGCATTAGTGTAGAAACATTTCAGGTGTGGTACATTGTAGCCAACACCTCTTGAGACAGATTGAGGGATCGCATTAGTGCTTGTTTCCTCAAGTTTTGGCACACCATCCCATCGCTCATCACTGGCAAGCCTGGTTTTGCCCCTTTCTCCCTTGCAAGTCAGTGTAAAGCTCTGTCAACGAACCCCACTGGCTCCTGCGCTAGAACTGTTTTTCCCCTTTGAGAAAGGTGCATCCCATCAGGTGTCAGTAGACCAGGTTTTGAGTAGATCATCCCATTGTCCAAACCCCCCCAAATTTGTCCAATTATACCAACCTCAGAGCCACTCATTGACTTAAAATTCTCAAAGTTTTTCCATCACTTTTTTCTAGTTATTCTTTAACCATACCTTGTTGACTGAAAAACAAGATTTAGAGTTACAACACACTTGCATGTGGGGAAAAAGTATCATCTCCATTTACTTTGGAATCTTGATGCTTTTTAAGACTTGGTCACACATCAAAAAGGCCTTCACTGTCAAAAGCATCCACTCTACTGAAGAAGTATGCAATTTCAAAGTATCTCTTTGACTACATTTCCATAGCCAGTTCCCAAATAAAACATGCAGTGAACTTTGATTTTAAACTCCCCTGCCACTACACAAATAACTGAATGACTGATGAAATGCATGGATTTTTGCTACAGCAGAATAATAAATACTATTAATATTTCTTACCAAGGCCAATAATGGCTTTCGTCTGTACTTCTTCATCTGAATGCTTTGTAAAATACATCAACAGTTCAAGTACTTTATCTTTAATGTTAACCTGAGGAAATTAAAACAAAAATAATAGGTATTTGAAGAGGAAACAGATATTTTTAATCTCTTATAAAAAGCATATATATCAAAAAGAAGAAACACAGTCTTACTTCATGGCCTTTGCAAACCCATGTATTTACAGCCCAAAAAACGATATCGTATGCATTATGAAAAAATGTATAGCTTTGAGGGACTATGAATACTGTGTTCTCAAATTGAAGAGGAGCATTCAATATACATAAGATGTAGAGAGTAAATACAAGTTATTTTACCTTACTGTTGCCCTTAAAATCTTCCTGATCAAAATCAAAATGCCGACACAGTGCTCCAACAGTGAAAAGTGATCTAAGGAGTGCTGGTTTATTGGCAGTAAGTATTGTACTGTTGGGGTCTTCTTGATGTTGACTTTTTAATTTTGAAAGTGCACCTACAGTAAGATAAAAGTTTTGATCACAGTATTTAATCATGGTGTATCTCTAAGACTTGTAGTCAAAACTGAAGAGTGACAATTACATGTTGTGATTTTACTTACCATAGTATCTATTAAAACAGGCCCACACAAATTTATAGTTCTGGGTGACCTTGTTCACAACAGCCCCAAGACAGCTCACACAATGCTGAACAACCTAGGTGCAAGAAGGAACAAATGAGTTATATATGAATTTAAACCTGAGATTTTTGTGAAGTTATGTAGGAAAAAGTTATGTAGAACTAAAACTAATGATTTAACATATGTAATGTCCATCTCCTAGATTGCTCTGAAAACCTGCCCAAACTTATAGTTGTTAAAATATAGCAACACATACAAACACCAGTAAACCAAGAACATTGATTTTTCATGGCTCAAAAGTTATCTTCACAATGAAGACAGACTTTCTTTAAACCAAAACTATGTATTTCATAATGTGAAATGTAATTAACCGAATAGTAGCAATTAAAAGCTTACCGTCATGCCATATTTGATGATGAGTTTCATGAGGTCTTCCTCAATCGTGGCAAGAAAGGTCTCACTTGGGTGTTCCATTAGTGGCACTACAAGTTCTAAGATTTTTGCAACATTGCAGATCACCATGAAATCATTCTGGGTCTGAAACAACAGCATTTATAGAATTTAACATTTCTGGCTGTGTTACCTATAAGCTAAGTATTATTAATATGTATTATGGAATAAATATATAATACATCTTAATACAACACAATTACATAATAGTATAATACAATTATGTATCTTATGTAAGCTATTTGGTAAATATTTAAAAGAATAGTTTATGTAGTTTACATCTGCTTTTGAGTTACATATTATTTTGAAAGCAAGTTCTTGTTTTCTACAGAACTTCTGGGAAAAAAAAATCTGTAGAAGCAGAACTTCACCTCTCATCAAGGCTGTGACAGTCCTGAAAAATTTTTGGAGTCCTAAAACAAATCTAGGAACTCTTCCTGACACATGCACACTAGAGAATGCACAACATCTGGCAACAGCTATCAGCAGCAAGTAAATAGTCAGATAATCTTTCCCTATACTGTTTGATCAGAAGCAGCTCTAAGTCTGTTGTAGATATGCCTAGAGAATGCTCCAGAGCTGAAACTGTAAAATGCTAGGCTATACCTACAAGCTAAGCTGATAACAAGCATTCTCAAGTCTGCCCTTCCCTGGGCAGGTGACCTAATGTAATGGATTGCTGCCTCCCACTCAGCCAAGCTCTTCCTTGAGCCATGGCTGCATGATCCTGTCCTGCTCCTTCTGCCAGATCAGGGGTTCATCACAACCTTCACTGAGCCAACTGTGCAAATCAAAACAGCAGAAAGCAATGCAGTGTTTCAGAGGAGGGGGCCATTTTACTGGAGTGGGGGGATTCAGCATTGTAGCTCTCTATCATTTTTGTGACCTAAACTGTCTTACAGGGGAATACAAAAACAACAGAGCTAGGGAAGAGAGAGGTGAACTGCTGAAGAGGATAGAGCAGGATGTTTTCCTTCAAATATATTTGCTATATGTTAGATCACTCTATCTTATGGAACCATACCTTTAGTTTTAAGATTCATATGTTAAATTTTAACTACTTTTAAGACTGTGACTATAAAACAAAACAATTTTAAGAAATTATTTCATAACAGATGAAAAACTGTGTTTTAGTCCTCAAGGGAAAGAGGCAGCACAGGTTTCACTTTCATCTGTCTGTAAAATGTGGAGGTAGAGGGTGAGAAACAGCATTTTAGAAGCTGTAGAGTTCTTCAAAAGGACCTAATATCTTCAGAAGATATGACGATCATGAATCATAGAAACACAATTTTTATTTCTCTTTTCCTGCCTTCAATTCATCAAGCATACAAAACAGCCATTAATTTCCATGCTTAATTATCTGAGGAAAAAAAAGACTGATTTTCTAATATTCTCTACTTACACTACATTTAGTGGTCAGGTATGGCTGCATGGTCATGGCATGTTTGACCATTAGCTGGGGCCTGATTTTGCTGAATAAGAACAAAGTGGTTATGCAAGCAACCAAGCGACCAGAATTCACACCTTTGTTGTCAGAATCTGCAAAAAAATTAGAAAATACACAAAGTAATGTTTGAGCAATGAAAAACATATGGTCAAAACATCATATGAATATCTCTTTCCTAACATATCTTTCAAGATCAATACAGACTATTCATTAGGTTGGAGATGAGAACATAATGTGTTAATATTTGTATGCAATCACAACATATGTCAAATAAGAAGCAAAATTGCTTCAAAGACATCACTAGTTTTTAAACTGGTTACTGTACACAGAACACTGGCCCAGCCAATGATTCCTATTACAACTGTAGAATGTATTAATGCAAATAAAGCTTGACACATTTGTTTTGTTTTTAGTGATCTAAAAGTTTGAACAAGTTATTTTAAAATTAGTTCTGTTATTGTGGTTAGCTAGAGAAAATTAGGGAAGCTTTATTATTATACAGTGCTCAAAAGTTCATAATGAACTTAAATACAATAATTCACTACCATCAGTTTTGTAACAGGAATTCCGTGACAGTTACTTTTCACAATAGTAATTTGAACCATCACTGTTCCAGTATCATATAAAATTCAAAGAAGCTACTGGGTTGTAAATACTATTACCTGACAAGGATTCCTCATATTTAAGAATGTGCTCAACCAAATTGTCAACAAGTTGAGTACAGGCTTTCTTCACAGGTTTATATGAGGCATCCTCTTCTGACTTCAACAGCTATGGCAGATGAAACAGAAAATGATTTAGTATTAAGGATGCATTCATTTACATTGGATATATACTGGTTTTATAAAAATTACTACAGATACACAAGGATTTTGCACTACAAAAGCATTTAACTTCTCCATAAAAGTTACATAGTGAAAAAAAATTAAGAGAAGTAAGAAAAAAATCAAACCAAAATGCAAAAGTAGTAAATAAAAATTAACTGTGACAAAAAGACAGAAGAGTTCTACTGATTTTTGCATTGGGATGAAAGCTAGCTTTGTGCTTAATGAAATAATGTAGAAAAAAATAATAGTCATAATTGCCAGCAGTAAGTAATAGGAGGTAGAAGGCTTTTTAAAAGAAAAAAAGACAAATTAAAAAGAAATGTTTTTTGACACTAAAAAACATATCAAACAAAGCTGAAACATAGTCCTATGAACATTTTAATCAGTTAATTTAATTGAGCCTGTACTATAGCTTTTTATTCAGTGCAGGCATCAAGAGGCCCTTTGGATTATTTGACTACCTATTTTCATGGCACTCGAGGCTAAAGTAAAATCTTTCGAGACCTCTAATTCTCTCATGCATGCTGTTGTTAATTTTGCTTGAAAATTAACAGGTGTATAGGAGTTGTAGAGGAGATAGATAACACAGGCTAAGAGATATAAACAAATCAAGATCATTTCTTAGAAAAATTAGAGTAAAATATAATGTGGAAGTAACCTATAGCCTGAAGAGTCACTGTTTCTATAAACTGTGTAACAAATATATTGGACATGAAAATACACTTCTCTATCATTGAAAAAAATCTACATTACACTAGAGGCCTTATTTCAGAATTACGTATCATACCTATGCACTTCATGTTATGTCACTCATTACTGAGGAGGCTATAAAATTAAAAACAAACAAAAGCCCTCCCCAAAATGAAAAAGGAAGTATTTTTAAAACAATTATATGGAAAGAAAGAAACTAATGTTGGACACAAAGAAAATTACACCAGTGAAGATTTAAAATAAGGTCAGATGTTTAAAAAGCATGGATTGAATTTGTTTACAGTAAAGGACTGCTCTTGCAGTCTCCCTTCAGTGTGTTTTAGTACCAAAAGAAATGTTAAAATTCTCAAAATGATTGTGCCATACATTCAGAATTCATTACTTACATTTTGAAGAAGCTGTTCAAACCAATCATACCCTGTATCTCTACAAGCTGCAACCTAAAAGTAGTTTTGAGAATAAACTGGTTAAAAAAGACATCTGAAGAAAAATTACTTCAATACAGATGTCATCTCAAAGGATCAGTAAACATGCACAGATATATATTTCCATAAATTTTTAGTACAATACCTTTGGAGATCAGAAACTGTTTCTTGCATTTGAAAAAGAGTTCTTACCATTTAAGGGATCTCAGAATTTGTATCCCATACAACACAAAGCCGACACATTTTACTGGAGATTGCTACCTCTAATATAAACCATATTTTGGGTTCATAAAACAGCATTTTGTACAGATTAAACATAAATACAAGTCTGACAGACATATTAAAAATGAACATGTGTTTATATATAAACATTTATATTATTAATATATTACATATTTATATAAACAAACTAAGCCTTCAGTGGTATTCTGTTTCAGGAACAGCTCACAGGTGCTCCAAAATAGAATTGGTAGAACTGAGAATTAAACTGGAGTCAAATAAACTCACTTTTCAGTCTGGAAAAATGCACAATACACTATCATTTAGTAAAAATATTAAAAAGCAGTTTAAACCCATATTTTTAGGTAGTGAAGAGAGTACTTTTATTTGATATTTATATCTTGGTATAATTGCTATAAAAATACCTTTTCAGCACAGTGGTTTTACACAATACATTTTCACTACAAATGTATCAGCATTTTATTTGAAACAGATTTTTGAGATATACTATTTAATTTGTTGCTCCTAAAAAGTAGATAAAATTATGCAGATACTAATTTACCTTGGATGAGTACGTGACCTTATATTTATTAAAACAGCTTATTAAGCTTTTAAAATAAATGTTATCAATTGAGGAAATTTTTCTTTTAAGAGACAACTTCTTACTTAGGCTTAACTATATGCTGCTACTAGCATTTCCTGAAAAATGTTAAATACAACACAAATTTGTTGTGTTTTAACTGAGCAAGTATTTTCCACAACCTGAATATAATGTGGTCTCAGTTATCACAGCTAGCAGATTTGTGAGCATTTAAAGTTTTCTTACAGTCAGTGTGGGGAAAGGGTTAACACTTTACAGGAAGAATGTCACAAGGAAGGATGGGAAATGTAGTCTCCGCATCAAGCCCCCAAAGGAAGTACTCGACTGAGCATGCCCACTGGAAGGGTTCAAGAATGACCGGTGGGGAAGTAGCACGTGCTCTATGGTTACGTAACCTCTGATGTCATTAGGGGTATATAAATGCGTGCTTGTCCGTTAATAAACGATTTGCCAGTTTGAACTCAATCTGGTTGGTCCGTGCAATAACTGCCACAAACCAGTTCCATCAGATGAATAATTATAGCATGTATTCAATGTCAGGAGACATATAAAGAAAATAATCTGATAATTAAATTACTTGCATATTTTTCGTGTTAAGACTACAGACTTCAAAGATACTAAAAACATAATGAAATTTTACGTGCAACTTAATTCAAATTTGCTTAACATACCACATCAGTAATGTTTAGTATTTTCCTGGTCATTGCTTCTTTGTCATGATGTGGAGTTGGAGTAAACCAGAGCTTCTGGAATGTCTCATTTACTAATTTCTGAAGGAAAAAAAAATATTAGCAGAAATAAATAATTTTATCTTGGGACGTAGGTATTATTACCAATACATCCATACAATAGATTTGTTGACAATATGTGCCTTTTCATAAGGAATTAGTCAACCTACATGATACTGTTGTAGAGAATGTTATGAGATAGACCCAGAACTACTATTGCAGCAGTTATACTGGTCTCTAAGCAAGCTTCAATAAAATGATCACTGGGAACTGATGCTACAGAAAATGGAGCACTTTCCTGCACTAATTTGCATTCCTCAGGAAAGCATAGTCCCCTGAGAAGTTGACAACTGAACACAAGACTAAAATTTCCAAAGCGGAATTAGCAGCAATTGTAGATTACTTTGGCATTTTCAGAACAGCTGTGACAAGGCGTGGAAGAGAAAGAAACCAAGTCTCTCTACGCAAACATAGGAAGTCAGTTCCCTTACAGTGTTTTTGTATGGAGGAAAAGATGGAATAGAATGAAAGTGAACTAACTATTCCCAAATTACTTATAAAGCATATGCTTGTAGGAAGCGTTCCTCATCCATGGACACATAAAAAAATACATTGCAGATACTGCCTCATCTTTATGAGGTTGTTGGGAAGGCAAGGGAAAAGAGAGGAGAGAACAAGGTCATCCTCCTTTCTTAGCAGCATCTTAGATCCACCTGTTCATCTACTTCTTGATTAACAGTCCTCTCTGAAAGCCACTTGGCATTAACATATCTTGTGGTAAAATTATATGCTGCAGCTTTAAATTTGCAGACTTGAAATCCCACTGAAAGTGTGATACAAAATTATAACAGTTGTATTCTTAATTACTCAGCAATTTTAAAATTATTTTTGCCAAATCAAACAAAAAACATCAGTGTCAGGTTTATGATTCAACACATAATCTTAGTGTTTTGCCCTTCTGCATATGCGGTGCACAAAGACTAGAACATGATCACATAAGTAACATTTTAGGGGGGATAACTGATTCATTAAACATTCAAAATTAATGAAAAACTTGCACAGATTAATACTTTATATTTTTATATGCAGAACTTATAAAACTGGCATAATAATTTTGACTTAAATTTTATTTTGTTTTCAGAAAGGAATTTGATATGCTAATTTTACTTGCTAGAAAAGAGAAGAACCAGATATAACCCTTGCAAAGAGAAAAATCCCCAAAACTCTAAGATAAGAACTTTTTAAAATCCTTTGATCATCAGCAAGAGCTTGAAGAAATAGAAGCAAGAAAAGAAAACCAAGTCAGACAGCAATGTAGAAAGCTATATAACAAAGGAGCAATTAAATACTTTTTTGATTATATTTGGGTCAAAATATAGAAATCAATTATGATAATTTAAATCCTGAAGGATATGTTTCATTCTACCTTAATGCCTTCTTCGTCATTAACTCTCCGAATCATTTTCACACACATCTCAGTAATTTTGGGAAATGTTGGTTGTTCAATGCAGATATCCCTAAGTATCTTTATGACTCTTTTTCTTACACTGATACCAGTATCCTGTGAGGAGAAAAGCATTATGCTCTTGAAAAGAAATCAGACATATTACTTAATTTATGTATTATATAAATTCATATTTGATGGTCACATGATCTGACCTGCAAAATGTATTCAGAAAAGGCAGCTAGGGTATATTTATACAAAAGGTCAGCATAACTTTATTTGCAACAATTATAAAGGTTTTGGCTGAGTCCCCAAAACATTGAAATGGTTCCTCCATTTATATCCTCCCATTCAAGAGCTCATGACATTGCAAATGTATAATTCCACTTCTTAATTCAAGAGCTTACAAGCTAGATGTGATGATGCTTTAGCTACGTTGTTGGAATGCACAAGACCTTTTGGACTGTAATACTTCAAAAGCCTTTGGATAAAGCTTATGGATGATACGTGCAGCAAATATTTTCCATTTTCCTAGGCTTTGTCTATCGAGAAGGATGAGGAGCTTCATTTCCTATTACTTTATTCAAAACATGCTTAATGCCAGGAATGAACATCTTCATGTATGCTCATATGCACATCTCCAAAACACTTTACAAACGTTTTATCATGTAACTATAGCAAATGAGTGGTTGGTGTGGGGCTGTGTTTGGGATTCTGCTGAACACAGGGTTGATAATACAGAGATATTTTTGTTATTGCTCAGCAGGGCTTGAACAGAGTCAAGGCTTTTTCTGCTCCTTATATGGCCCTGCTAGGGAGAGAGCTGGGTGTGTGTAGGAGATTGGGAGGGGACACAGCTAGGACAGGTGACCCCAACTGACCCAAGGGATGTTCCAGACCATGTGACATCATGCTCAGTATATACAGTGGGGGGAAGAAGAAGGAAGGGGAGGATGTTTGGAGTGATGGTATTTGTGTTCCCAAGTCACCATTACGTGTGATAGGGCCCTGCTCTCCTGGAGGTGGCTGAACACCTGCTGCCCATGGGAAGGGCTGAATGAATTCCTTGTTCTGCTTTGTTTGTGTGAGTGGCTTTTGCTTTCCCTATTAAACTGTCTTTATCTCAACCCACGAGTTTTCTGGCTTTTTCCCTTCCAATTCTCTCCCTGATGCCACTGGTGGGGGAGTGAGTGAGCAGCTGTAAGGAGCTGTGTGGCTGGCTGGGGTTAAACTATGACAATATAACAAAGCCTCACTGAAAACAAGCAATGCATTTTACAAGGTTGGTCTTAACGCTTCCCCAAAAAATAATAAAATACCATTTACTCTTTGAATTATCATTCCATATTATTAAACATATAAACTCAGTCGAATACAAATTTTCCAATGACACTTATTTTATCATAATTATTAAAAGTCACGGTACCAATATTCTTTCGATCAGCATGTCATAATACTGCTCAGCAAGCTGAGGACGACAGAGCACAAATCGGCCAAGCAGCTCCACAGCTGCTTCTCGTACACTAGTGGAGTTATCCATTAACCGTCCGTGAACACCTCGTTGCATATCCAGCTAAAAAGAACAAATAAAACACAGATCCAAAATAAGAAATAAAGATTTCTTTTAAGTGTGACAGAAGAATGCATGTGCATGATGGATATTTCAGATTTTTTTACCCTGGCTAGAATACTGGGGTCTACAGCAACAACCTCAGACAGACATTTCATGGCTTTTGTTCGAACAGCAATTGCATTTTCACCAAGTACACGCAGAATCTAATAAGAAAACAAAAACAAAGATTCATTTGCTTTGGGAAGGTAGTAAACTGTTTAACAGGCAAAAATGCAGCAGAATAACATGTTAATGATTTCATTAAATAAGAAGTCCTTTCATTGTAAACTCTACTTTTGCCATTTGGTTGTGGCTTTCATCATGGTTCTTTCAACGGAAGACGAGGATTTGGGCACTATAATTTTAAGAATGGCTCTGTATGCAGATCAGTATAAGTAACACAACCTAAACTAAACCAAACCAGTACTGGAGTTCAAACATGTCGCCATGACATGTTAGTGCTCTTCTCCCAGAAGAAAGTAAGAAACCACACTGGTTAAACAACAGCTTCCAAAGTGACAGTAACAGGCACTGCAAGCAAGTAGCCAAGCTGGCTTATATGATCAAATTAAGATAAGTTTAATAAGTTAATATTACCAAATGAGCATGCATTGTAAAAAAGATTTCAACATTTTGCAATTATCCTTTTACTGAGCACATCTAAGATATTGATTTTGCCACATACATCCGTAGCCAAATAAAATAATGTATGTACAATATGACATATGAAATGCATGCAAGAAAAAGAAATATAAGCACTTATGTCATCAATACAGAATATGAAAGCCCATGGTGTAATCATGGCCTGTTAAACAACCATGCTCAACAATGAACAGATATGGCACACTACCACAAAAGTGTTTGGAATCAGAAACCAATTGCATTTCATTGTACTAAGACTTCCATCACAGTTTACCTGTGTCAAATAAATATCAAAGCTCTGGGCAAATGGCCTCATAGAGGCCAAGTAGCGAACAATCAAACATGCATCTTCATAGTCCACAGTATCAGAATTCATCCTGCAACAAATCCAATGTTTTAATTAGGACATGTTTATAAAAAATGATTAAAAATGTCAAATGCATGGTTAATAAAGAAATCAGTGGTGCTCAAACGTACTTTAATGTACTGAACTGAGATGGAGCAGTTTTAATGATGCTGCGAAGAAATGTTTTGCGACTTTCCGCTCTATGCATGATTTGCCCTGTGGTCTCAACATCTTTTGCATGATGAGTTCCTTCAGATGAATCCTCATCCTTCTGAGATTTAATTGCTTTCTCTGTCTCCATAGTTGTATCACGGAACCACTGAGCTATATAAAACTTGCGAGAAAACTGGAGAAATACAGCAGGATACACAGAAAACAAAAACAACAGATGTAGAAGAGTGAAATTAACAGATTTATGAGATTGAGTCTAATGCATCAACCATATTTTGGAAAACATAATCAACAGTATATGTTAGCGTGACAATTTAATTGAATCCCTAATACGCATGACCAAAAATAATTTTATTCAGTACATGTTACTGAAATTATTTTTATATAAACTTGGCACCAGAAAGCTGAAATTTACCACTAATGATGCATCAGTTTCTGTGTTCTCATCCAGATAATCTAGCAAAGCCTTTTGCAGCTGTTGAATTTCATCTTCTCCTCCTGAAACCTATAGGAAATAGAAAGATATTTATAAAATAGAATATTTCACAGTGGTGATTATCATCTGAAAATTTGCATGTCCACATATAAAATACACTGAAGTTAATGTTCTGCAATTATCAATAAAATTAATAATTTTTAAATCAATTACTTCTAAACTTTATAGAGACTAAACCAAACTAGACTGTGACTCCAAAGTCTAAAAAAGATTAACAGCAGAATAAGACTGGTTTTAAAACAGACAAACTGGTTTGAATAATTTTCATTCTATGATCTTGTATGAAGACCCTCTGTTCCTGAGGAAAAACAAAGGGCTAAAATCACACATAGTACACTGACGCAAGATTTAACCTATAAAATGCATTGCTAGCTCTCTCAATAATATTACATACTGAAACAATGATTTCTCAGGTGAACAAGGGATAAAAGGCAAAAAAGTCAAATGAACATAAATACAAAACACAGACAACAGTACAAATATATGGGAAACATCAAAGAAATAAAAATAACTTATCCCTTTTCAAAACATTTGGTATAACTGTTTTCAGGTTTAAAGCATCAATACAGAGAAAGTACAGCAAGTATGCTCAATCCATGTAGCAAAGAATTTACAGAGGTTATTCCCAAACACCCCTGAACTCTAGCATTAAAGAATCATACTCTCTGAGACTCAACTAAGTTTCTATCAGTCAAAAACCTTGAGAACAAACATACATTTTATAAAAATTCTACCAAGTTCATAAAGCCTATCTACAGAATAGGCTAATATTCATTTTCCTGTGAAGCACTTTCAAGATGCACAGAAAGGATTACATATGAAATATTATTCTGAGAACTATGTATCAGATTTGTAAATATCTAAACTGTGTGAATGTTAAAAACAGAATGGTTTTTTTCAAGAGGCTATTTAAAAGGAAATATGTATATCCTGATCTCTTAAATAGTTCTAACCTATGTAAATTGAATAACAATTCTGTATATGATCATCAGACAATGTACTTTTCCCTATATAGGGGTTAGAGAACAAATAAGTATCAATTAACTTGTTAATGAATCAGAAACTAACTTTCTCAACACCTACAAGACATCATAAACCCATAAACATAAAACACCCTTTTTTCCTTACTATTATACTGAAATGTGCAGGTCCTTGTAATTGCTGATGCTACAGAAGAAAAAAAGATTTTTTACCCCTCCCAAAATCAATGAGTTCAAGAATTCAAAACACATCTACAATACACATAATATTAATATAGGTTTATTAATATATATTTGGCACCCTAATATATGTGCAAATTGTGATTTGAAAGTCTGGCTTTCAACCAATGTTAAATTCTGTGGACAAAAGGCTGGAAAAAAAGTTGCTTGATGAACTGTAACTGCCTAACTATTAAAAAAAGTAAAAATCCCAGAACAAACAAAAAGAAACTGTGAAGCCCACAACAAATCATATTCAGTATTGATAAAAAAAGTAGAAGAATAATTTCTGGCTTAAACTTCTTCAGCTACAAAGCATTTTTCTTCTTCAGCAATAAAATCTGTAACTTCTAACCATCAACTTCTGTATGAACAGCATAGATTGAGAATCTTCTGACAAGTGTAGCACGTAATATAGCTTGCAAACAACAGCACATGGAAGAAGGTACAGTTACAAGTCCAGAAGATCGGCATATCAACAGACAAACTAATGAAAAGCATGCACAAGTGTTCAACTTGACAATCTATGACAGATTTCTATGAAAAAAATCTACTGTTTAAAAATGTCAAAACAGAAGAGATTCTCTCCTACATCTATTTATACAGTTCATGAGCCCAAACCACAATAGACAGAGTTATAAGCATTCATCAATCATTGGGGGAATATCCTGGTAATGATATCAGAGGGTAGAAGGAAATATCCAACAGTCTAAGCTTTCAATTCAGCAGGAAAGAAAAATGTGTAGAGCTAGAAGTTCATTTCTGAATGAAAAGATTAAAGATATTTCTGATGACTAAAGCTGAATATGTCTACCAATGGATCTTATTTTCTTGACAATTGAGCAACAAAGTGAAGCTTAGGTGTCATGTACACATTTTCAAGTAGTTATTTGTTCTTATGTTACAAATCATTTATAAACAACACACTGTCTACCCTGACTGATGGTACTGTATAGTATACACTTTCCACAATGCACTATCTGCCATCATTGATGTTAAGCTTCCTGAGTAACAGAAAACAATCTTTTAGCACTCAATTGCCCACAGCTATTTCTGCAGATGCAATGCCTAGTTACTGCCTGATCCTGCAAAAAACCCAATGTATGGCCAGTCTTCACGAACGAAGATTTTGGGAAAGGTCTTTTACCTTTCAAGCCTGCGCAATGGATTTTTTAGGTGAGACACAGCATGTGCTGAACTAAGCCCACCCTTTAATCCTAAGGTTCATCTGCCAGGGCCAAGCAAGCTTGGACAATGGCAGTGAGGTCCTCAGGACGTAGGTTTGTTTAGAGTGACCTTCTCATAGATGGATGGCCTCACAGGGCTAACGAGCTCCATCTGCCCGGGGGACCGGGGAATCGAACCTGGGTCGCATGGACAAATTCAGGTCACCACTCAGGTATGTATCTTTTTAGAATATCTTTCGATACTACTATATAACTCCTGGAGATAAGGAAAGAGAAAAGTATTCTTCTAAAATATTTGCCTATGAAGTCTAATGTACAACTGTCAAAATCACTGCCAATGAAGGAGAATTATAACCCCTTAGCACATAGAAGTATAAATTATAATAAGCCATGAACATAAAGATTGACACTATATGTAGTACAATATTCTAATTGACAAAAGTTATGGGAAGCATCAGCCTCCTAAAGGAGTAGATGAATTTTGATTCATTTGAATGCCTGTAAATTGCACAAGTTTTTCCTTCAAAATATATCTGTAACAGTCATTAAAAAATACATATAATAGATCTGGAGTCTTTTCAGGTAACTAAAAGGGAAACAAACTTGATATGACTACTCAACTTTAGATCTAATCATGATAAGAATAATTAGTAGTTCAGAAAGGAATATATAGCATCCATAAGAAATGTGAAAGTTCACATTTTTAAAAGGACACATAAGACCCAAGATTTTCTTATCATACTATAGAGAGCCCAAATGCATAAACTGCATCTTTAATTGCTGCCACCCTTGCAGATTTGGAGACATTTTGATAAGCAGCATTAACAGAAATGCAAATATGTATTCTCTAATGAAAGATATATGCAAGTCCAGTAAAAAAAATCCCCACAAAAATAACAACATCCCCCCCACAGCCCCCCAATACCAGCTCCATTACATAAAAGCTAACCTTACAGGTCTAACAGTTTAACTCTCAAAAGTTTGTGTATGAGCGCCATAAGCTCAATTACCATTTGGCAATAGCAAATGCACATACATACATACACATATATATTTTAAGGTCTCTTAAGATATAATCCAACTGTCACTCCATTATTTCCTTTAAATTGTTGCCAGAAAACTGGTTTTACCATTTTAATTAACCACTTAAAATGATCACTAGGGAGATGGTGAGAGAAAGACATGAATACTTATAAACTGAGTATATTTGATTCAGAAATCTGAACAGCAATGAAAACTCATTCTCCACAAAGACAGTTTTTCACACATCTTTAAAATGTTTAAGCTTTTAAATAGATACATCTCAATCCAACTGGTACAGGATCTTTCACACACCTGTTTGAGTATTCTGGCTATAGAACCTTGATCCATTTTGCTAGTGACTGCATCTTTCCTGAGTCTTGCAGCTACAGTTCCAAGATAGTCAAGTGATGCAACTCTTAATGCCATTTCTGTTGATTTGTTACTGAACTGGTGAACCTAAGAAAAGCAGAATAAATTGTTATAAAAATTATTTATTTATGCAACTGAGATTCTTCTCACAAGACATTGCTTGACTTTATTAAAAATTCCACCTAACTTCCATGCTGCATAAAATTATGTAATTTACTATTACATCACAGATACAGTCCTTACTTTACATTAATGTTTTTTCCTTTATTAGGTCTTTCTATCTACAAATATGCCTGTTAGTTTTTTAAAAATATGTATTTTTATAAAATAAACTGGGCATCTAGTAGAGCAGGTATCCTTTGCAATAGCATAGCACCATAATACAACTTTGTCATTATTCACACAAGCATAAAGAAAGCTACATTTTACCAGGAACAGGACCATAAAATACATTCCAAATAAACAGCTCAAATTACTGTATTAATTGCATTGTAATACTGAAGAACAACTCTCCAAAACAAGCAAAAAAAAAAAATTCACATTCTGTAATCAGTAAATGTACTACTTACTTTAAGACCAAACTTGTAAAAGACCAAATTACTTATTTTTTTCAGGTTCTATGCTAAAGGAATAGTCCAGAGAAGTATGGGACTGGGGGAGCAAAGTCCCTCCCACTGTAAGTGAAGATCAGGTTCGTGACCACCGGAGGAACCTGAACGTATATCAGTCTATGGGACCTGTTGAGATGCATCCCAGATTCCTGAAGGAATTGTCTGATGGAATTGCCAAGTCACTCTCCATTTGAAATTACCAGTACATATTTGAAAAGTCATGGCCATCAGGTAAAGTCTCAGGTGACTGGAAAAGGGGAAACATTGTCCCCATCTTTAAAAAGAATAGAATGGAGGACCCTGGGAACCACTGCTCTGCCAGCCTCACCTCTGTTCCTGTGAAGATCATGGAACAGACCCTCCTGGAACCTCTGTTGAGGCACATGGAGGACAGGGAGGTGATTTGGGACAACCAGCATGGTTTCACCAAGGGCAAGTCCTGCCTAACCAACCCAGTGGCCTTCTATGATGGAGTGACTCCATCACTGGGCAAGGGAAGGGCTACACATGTCATTTGTCTGGACTTCTGTAAAGGCTTTGACATGGTCCCCCTCAATATCCTTCTCTCTAAATTGAAGAGAGATGGATTTGATGAGTGGACTGTCAGATGGATAAGGAACTCATTGGATGGTCATATCCAGAGGGTCGTGGTCAACAGCTCAGAGTCCCAATGGACATCAGTGACCAGTGGTGTCCCTCAGGGGTCTGTATTGGGACCAGTGTTATTTAATATCTCCATTAATGACACAGATGAAGGGATCAAGTGCAGCCTCAGCAAGTTTGCAGATGACACCAAGCTGAGTGGTGCCGTTGACACACCTGAAGGATGGGGCCATCCAGAGGAACCTGGACAGGCTTGAGGGGTGGACCTCATAAAGTTCAACAAGGCCAAGTCCAAGGTGCTGCACCTGGGTTGGGGCAACCCTCGGTATCAATCTAGGATGGGGGATGAGCAGAACGAGAGCAGCCCTGCCAAGAAGGACTCGGGGCTGGACATGCCCTGGCCATGTGTGCTTGCAGCCCAGAAACCAACGGTGTCCTGGGGTGCATCAAAAGAGGAGTGGCCAGCAGGGTGAAGGAGGTGATTCTGTCCCTCTGCTGAGCTTTGGTGAGACCCCACCTGGAGTACTGTGTCCAGCTCTGGGGTCCCCAGCACAGGAAAGACATCGACCTGTTGGAGCGAGTCCAGAGGAGGTCACCAAGATGATCAGAGGGCTGGAGCCCCTCTCCTATGAGGACAGACTAAGAGAGTTGGGACTGTTCAGCCTGGAGAAGAGAAGGCACTGGGGACACTTTGAAACACCTTCCAGTACCTGAAGGGGGCCTATAAGAAAGCTGGAGAGGGACTTTTTACAAGGGCATGGAGTTACTGGACGAGGGAGAATGACTTCAAACTGAAAGTAGGTTTAGATTAGATATTAGGAAGAAATTCTTACCTCTGAGGGTGGTGAGGCCCTGGCACAGGTTGCCCAGAGAAGCTGTGGATGCCCCATCTCTGGAAGTGTTCAAGGTTGGATGGAGCTCTGAGCAACCTGGTTTAGTGGAAGGTGTCCCTGCCCTTGGAAGGGGGTTGGAACTAAATGATCTTTAAGGTTCCTTCCAAACCAAACCATTCTATGATGCTATGAATAATTACAGGTATTATTCTGACTTTATTCTCAATGAATATGAATGAAGAGAGCATCTAAAGGAGGTCATGAGGATGGTGAAGGGTCTAGAGGGGAAGCCTTATGGGGAGGGGCTGAGGGCACTTGGTCTGTTCAGCCTGGAGAAGAGACTGAGGGGAGACCTCATTGTGGTCTTCAATATCCTCACAGAGGGCAGTGGAGGGGCAGACACTGATCTCTTCACTCTCGTCACCAGTGACAGCACCCATGGGAATGGCCTGAAGTTGAGTTGGGGGAGGTTTAGGTTGGATATTAGGAAAAGGTTCTTCCCCCAGAGGGCAGTTGGGCACTGAACAGGCTCCCCAGGGCAGTGGTCATGGCCTCAAACCTGCCAGAGCTCAAGGAACATTTGGACAACGCTCACAGGCACATGGGGTGGGATTGCTGGGGTGTCCTGCGCAGGGCTTAAGGGTTGGACTCGATGATCCTTGTGGGTCCCTTCCAACTCAGGATATTCTATGATTCTATGAATTTCTACACTTATTGAATGCTATAGAATGGCATGTTTAATGTGGAAAACATCATGGAATATTAGAAGTGGACTTCAATGACAAAATGTATATATATGACCTTAACTATATTCCATATCAATGATCTTCTGACCTAAAATTTATTTTCTATGCATTACATAATAGTGATACATGTAAGAAAATCCTTACATGCTGCATGTGTGTGACAATAATCAGAAAGCATTGCTGTAATAGTTTGAGCTGAAATAAACAAGTTTCATTTTAATAAGAAATAATATAATAGTCAAAACCAAGAATCCCTTACCAATAGCCTTCCTAATAAGCTAAGTAGCAACTCTGCAGCTGGCCATTCTGGTTTATTAACTGTGGAAAGAAGATCCTGAATGAAGTTCTCAAACAGTGGTCTGTAATCTTCTTCCCCTTGTTTACTGCCACACCTGTTTAAATCAAAATGCATTTTATAAGTGAATTTAAGAGTCATTTAAGCTTTTCTTCTGATGCAAACAGAGCTAATCCTATTTTTATCCAGAAAAAGAGTTTTATGCAATTCTAAAAAAAAAATCTGAAATGTTAGCAGAAAAATTGGGTTTTTTTCCATTTACAGACAAATAGTTTACACAGTTATCACTCCAAGTTGCACTGCAAGTAAAGCAGCTAATCCTGTATAGTAGAATTTTGCTCCTAAGATATATTTATAATTTTGAGTTAAAGTCTGCATTAACTTGGATGGACAAAGTAGATAAAATTCTAAAGCTTAACCTAGAGTCTGGTTTTTAGGAGGTGTTGTGTCCTTAAACCTGGTCTGACTTATCTCACAGTGATAAGGCATCTATGTTCCACAAAGGTTAAAATCAGAATATAAATAAATCAAAAGATAACATACATAATAGTGTTTCACTTATATGTGGCACCCCAACTTTAATTATACCAGAATTATGCAGAGAGATGGCTAGATAGCTCATAAATAGCCTTTTGGCTTAACAATAGAAATTAACACAATAAAAACCTCAGGACTTTTTGTTACAAATCTTTTAGTTATTAAGGTACGTTTTTTTTTCCCTGTTGAGCTATTGACATTCCTAACTTTATGGAAATTAAAGAAATTTTAGAGTTTTTATATTTTTGTCATTTTGATGACTGAAAAAATCCCTGATAAAAGGATCCTATATAAATTATCAGAAAGATTCTTAAATGTGTTCTTAAAGTCTGTAGAATTTCTGTTCCATAAAAATTTTTGTCCAGACAGGTAGCTCTCAGGGATCCATAAAATATATTGTTATAAGTAACTTTATTAGTAGTCATTTATCATTGCAAAGTGGTTTATTTTGTCTTAAGGTGTGACAGATTTTATTTGGAGTTGGTTTCATCAATACACTAAAGAATGCAACAGTACTTACTTCTTAAGGAAAATAGAAAGGAAGTTTTGTGCTGTTCTCATGGCTGTTTCATATGAGTTAGTCATAAGCACATCTTGATCCACCTAAAAATAACAAGATTTATTTTTCTAATATTTTAGCATACACAGAAATATAATTTCCAGATCGGCATTTCTCATTCATCAAATAATTACAGCAGATATAAAATTAAAATGCTTAATTACTAGAGCACGGTCATAAACTATTATACCTACAAAGTCAGTCCTGCACCAAAGAAAAAATTATGGCTCTTTAAATAAAACTTACTTTTTTGTTTGATTCCTCCTCTGAATTAGAATCTTTTTCCGTTGAGGGCAAATGCACCACACATTGAATAAGCTGCAGAACTAGTGCTGTTACCATCTGAATATACATAGGCTCTCCATCAGTGTCACTGCTGTTTAACCTGTTAATAAGACAGCATTAGCACTAAAAATTAACAAAAAAGAGAAAACAAAAATTTTTGATCCTAAATAACATATTTCTAAACTAATAATCAAAGCTAGAAATCTGTGTTATAGACATTTATCTAGTCATTTGCTTCTCTCTTATGCAGTGAAGGATTTGGTCTAACAAAAAATGAACTGAACTTGTCATAATATTTTATTACTTATATATTATTTAATGTATCTGAAATGTGCAGGACTTTTAAACAAATCAGTGACCACAACCTGGACTGACTTCTGCAAGTTACACCTATGGTAATCTCAGGTAGCGTAACAGACTATAAACTTCAGCATGTAAGAGTGTCTTTTGAGTTGGTATGACCAGTACAAATACACTCCACCTCACATTGCTCCCCTTCCAAGTGATTTAACCTGACGAATAGTATGGTGTTTACTACCCATAAGTACATCAACACCACTTAATGCTGCCCTTAACAATATGAAAAGGTGATAATCTCTGACATCATTCTCCCCAAATTATCAAAATAATAACCGGACACAAAACAGATTGCAATTATTATCTTTATGAAGTTATCTCTAACTACTTGTACAGAGACAATATTTTCCTATAAAATTTTAAGCAAGCTGTACCCTTCATGACTACACCCACAGACAGGGAATGTCCTCCAATAGAACAGAGTGAGGACTCTAGAGATAAACAGTGCAGTCATTATGGTCTTGAGATAGTAACTTCCTTATAGTAAACGTTCCAATTCAAAGAGGGTATCTACCATTTATGTTCCTATGCCTACCACCTTCCTGTTTACTAGATCTCTCTGATGTCTATAAACAAAGCGATAGGAAATAATAGGAACAAGCACTCATGGATTACTGAATTCAAAGTTTCAGTGAATTTCTTTTCCTGGATATTTCCTGGTCATGCACCCTGGATCAGACAACTTATTTCACTGACAACTTGTCTGTCTCCAGGGAAAAGATGTACGGAAGCAAGGAACAAAATCAACACTAATAACAAATGTTTTAGAATCATTTGCAGAGTCCAACCTCAATTTTAACTGAAATCCTATCCAGGTCAGATTCTTTCTCTAATTTAACCTGAACCTATACTATTATTCAGAAGATGCACTGAAATCCAGCTGAAGTGCTTAAAAGACAGTTAAAGTGAATGGAGTAGTTTCTAAATGAGACACATTCAAAGGAGTATTAGATTGATTTTCTGGAAAGAGTGCTCTAAGCGTGTCCTTAAAGAAATTCAGCCAGAATATTCCTATTAAGCTTTAGCAAAGACAAAATTATATAAAATCCCTATGAATAAACCAAAGAATTTTCCAAGAAAAAAACCTATGAATGCACACTAGTATTACAGTCATTTACATACTTAGTGAGACAAATAATAAGATATTCAATTATTTTTGTAAGCAGGCATAAATATGATGGCATGCAAAACAGTGATTATTACAAATTACATTTGTCAGACAATTCTGTTCTCACTGCAGAGGTTTTGAAATATCAACCTCTAACAAAACATAGTTTGTGGAGTCACAGATTTTTAAAGAACAAGTTAATACTGAAGCCTAAAATCCTACATCTACAAACTGTAAATGCTACTGTCTACAAATTTTCAATGTCAGAAATTACCTGAAATTTCTCAAACTCCTCTTGCTAGTTGGTAGTCTTGCAAGGGAAGTGAAAATTTCTTCTAGTATTAACTGTCTATGTTTTTCGTACTTGGAGAACACCTATTTAACAGTTACATAATTGTTAAGAAATTATTTATTGTAACATAAAATATCACTTGTTAAATAGATTGTTAAAAATTATATATAGAAACGCTTTACAAGACATTTAAATAAATTATATTTCATGCACACCTTGTTTTTAATGCATTGCTTTGTTTTTTCAAAACATTTCTTTATAAAATACATAAAACATTTTTCAAATATAGCTTTTAAATAATCTTCAAATAGCATAAATGTGTAATAGCTCTTGAAAATACCATATGTTTTAAAATTTTCTCCCAATGGTACAATACACTGAAAGTCAAACGGTGTAATGCTAAGCTTTCAGACTCCAGTATAGAGCAAAAGTCTATGGTAACATACATTATATATGAAAACATGTATAGTTTTAGAGCACATCTGAGAAAACTAAGCTTTAATGTTTGCATGACATAAAATATTATTTCAATTTCTGGGGTCAGGATTGTAGAGTTTGCTTCTCTCTTTGTTTAGGCAGAACTACTTTTATAAATACTGGAGTACATAATCCTTACAAAGATGAAAAACTTTCACTTGAACAAACACATTTGTGTTGTGCTGCAATTTTCCTGAAAAAATATTTTATCTGCCCCATGACTTTTTCACATAGCCCCCTCTTCTAAGGAAAAGGATGTATTCTATTATATATTTCTATTATATATTATATAGAACTATACTACAAATTCTGTAGCTTATACCATTGCATGAATTCTAATCTTAACAAGGAAGGTAAGGAAAATTGCATTGTTAAGATTTCTTAAGACAAGAAAGAACAGATAAGAGGAAGGGGTTTTTGTTTTCACTTTAAACAACATAACCAAAATTAAGTAAATTCCATGGCTTAAGTAGGCTATTTCTTCCTATAGAGTACTCTGAAAATGAGAGGAGTTCAGGTAGCTTTAATACTGTTCTTAGATTGTGATACCAAATTGTAAAAACATGCAAGAACAAAATTAGTTCTAAACTCTAATTCTCTACCAGCAAAAATACAGCCTATGTAAATGCCCTAATGACTCTCAGAAGAACATGAAACTGCAAATTAAAAATTACTTACCGCAGTCACTAATTTGATGGCACATAACTGTAGTTCACTGACATTTTCTACAAAGAATGGTGTTATTCCCATAGATGATATCTATCAACAGAAAGAAGTTATTGTAAGTATATTTGACTAACAAACTGATATTTATGCATTTTCACAAGTAGATTATTCATTCATCAGGTAAGGTATTCAGTAACACGTATTACTTCATATTATTTGCAAATAAAGTTATTAAAGGATATTTTAATACAATCAGGTTAAAATTTTCTTAAGTATACAATAAAAGCCATTAAAGATCTAAACATTAAATGTTCTGCAGACTACATACTACAGAACAAACTAGTAACTGATGTTAATAATTCAGAAGTTTGTACTTATTTCATACTTCATGTCATTGAGACAATCACACTTTACAGTCTCTCTGGGAAAAGAAAAAAACCATTCTCAGACAAAAATTTTTCTTATAAAACTTACTTGAAGAATAGTTGTATCGGTGAGAAGCTGTATCTCTAGCAACTCTGACAAACTGCTGACAATGTCACAAACTTTGTTATATAACATCACTATAACTCTTTGCTTGTGGGTGGAACACTTAGCACGTTTTGCTTTTGAACTTAAAACACCACCTAGAAAATAAAAAATATCTTTATTAATTTTTTCAGTCTTTCACTTACATCAGATATTAGAAAGATGATCATCTTCCTCAAAAAATGCCTCCAAAACAACTCCATGACTACAGCTTTGTAAATGCAAGTGCATACAGAAGAAAAACTATTTAGTAAAATCTGCTGGAAAGCAAGAATTTCATATTTTTGTAATTGCTCTGAATTCTGGATCCAAGATTTTTTAAACTGTTCTTGAACACCCCCATCTGAAGATATGCATATGACAACAAAATGCCAAATGGAAAACATTTAGCATACTAACCACCATGAGGATCCACTCTATACACAGGATCATATTGAGGATAGAGAGTGTTCTGCAAATGAAATTTTGTGTATTGAATTACTCTTTCTATTACGTCCTCAATATATACAGCTTTAGGCATATTTGGTGATGTCATAATATTGATAGCAGTAAGACAAGCATCAGCAGATTTTGTCACTCTCTCCATAATAAGATCTCTCCATAATCTCTCCTCATCTTCAGTGTCATTGTTCTGTAACAGGCGATAGAAAACAAGATAGTGTGAACAAAAAGTTAAATTTTTATCCTTACCAAGTAAAAGATAACATTATTTTAATATATTTACATCCATGCAGTATTTCCTTTATGATAAAAAAATAGTTTGTTTTAGAAATCAACAAATGTTTATTTTACTAGCCAAAAGTTTGTAACCCTAAGTTACAATTCTTCAATATCTCACCGTATTCTTCTGGTAAAACACAAAGAAGCTTTCTGTGTATCATTGGGAAGCACCTTTAAGGAGGACTGTCACATTCTCTATTTAAAATGATGTACCTTAATCAAAATCTAAACTCATTCATCTAGTGTTTTCTTCAGTGACCTAAACACAAATTGCTGCTTTGATCAGTCTAATTTTTGCCACTAGAGGGAATTCTTACACAAAAAGACTGTTAAGTCACACAAAACTTATGAGAATACAACTTTCTCCATAGATGAACTCATCTATATCAATGGATTTAAAACACGTCTTATCAAATATGACCATTTAGATTTAGCACAGGGTATGGAATCTCTGTATTTCTGTGTTTCTACAAGTTATAAAAGCAAACATACATGAGGTTAATTATGACCACCTAGCACTACCGAAATATTGTAATAATGTTATTAATAGCAAAACCAGGTGAAATTTTTAATAACTTCTCTGGTACAGAGAAAAATAATCTTTCTTGCCTGTATAATAGCACAATTCAACACTGTTTGCTTTCCTTGTAAAAATAAGGGGTTGGTGAAACCATATCAACTTTTTCCATTTGGGGTAAGGGAATCTAAATATCACAGTGCATTATATATATTTGAAAAATCATCAGAAATCTGCAAATCAGGAGATCCCTATAAATTTCTTGCATAGAATGGCTTTAAATCATTTGTTATTACACAATGGAGGGTTAAAAAACCTAACACCAAAAAAACCCCACAAAATAAAATCCCAAGTACTTTTAAATCTTTTCCATTTTTTTCCTAATTAATCTTGCAAGTGCAAGAAAAAATACCTCTGGAAAATATCCTGACATGGAGGTAGGATATTTTTACTGCACTGTAAAAGAAATAAGCTTACTCCTTAGCAGAGGCTTTCTTTGCCATAATGACCTGAATCATGTTCAATGGGTTTTAAAAAAAAATCTAAAACTTGTTTGGCTAAAGATTGCTTCTTTTAATTGAAACTTTGAATTGCAATCATTGGACAATTCCATTAACTTTTTCATAATCTTGAGTTTTACTATGAAAAGATAGTGAAAAATATCACTTTAAAGGCATTGTCATAAAGTCTCAATCATATTGAATTACAGCAGGTAAACCCGCACCTTCTTTTCACTTATTTTTCATACTGCTAAAGACATTCAGAACCACATACTGAAACTTTGAAAACCCAACAAACTACCTAGATGAAAATATTTAGGTACAAATAATGTGTCTCTGGTTTGCATTTTCAAGTTTAATTTTTTCCTTTCCAATACACGTAATTACTCTCTATTTCTAGAGATCAAGGTTTTTTCCCCAGAAAACTCAAGAACTCTATTCTTGCTAGAATATTGTTTTGACTATGAAATGTAGAAATAAATAAATGAATAAAAATGCATAATGCATTTGAACCTCATAAAAACCCCTCCAAATCCCCATGTAGTTTTAGGTATATCAGAAAAAAAAACCCTAAAATCTTCAACTTCCTGTTAATTTTGTTTATGTTGATAACTTCAACTTTGCTGCATAAGAGCGGACCTAAATGAAGCACTTTCTCAGTTCTTAATGCTCAGGAGAAGAATATGCTCTACATAAAAGCTGTAATATTTCTTCCATTGTATAAGGGATGTTTTATGGACACGTAGAAAAGTAGAAAAAAAATGCCCAATGATACAAGTTACACCAGTTACCATGACTATTTCAGGATGAAAATATAATATTTAAAATTAAGTCAAAAAACAACCTAATTGCTCCCAATACATCTGTTAGTTATCAGTACTATAGTAAAACATACTGAAATAATATAAACAATTGAATATTACTTCAAATCTTAAAATATGGCAATCTTTTAATCACATACATATTAAATCAGTAAATCCTTTCACAGACACACACAGTATTTGAAACTCTCACTATATGGGACTCAAGTGAAGAAAACCCTATTCTACACAATGGTGTGAAACAATGTAATTTGAAACTCACATGGTTAAGTAATGTAGAAAGCTTCGATCCATCTTGAATATTCTTCTCCAAAATATTCAAGACTTTTACTGTTTTATCTGTTGAGAGCTAAAACAAGAAACAAAACATCAATCAGCTCTAGGAATAGAAAGGCTTCCAAACTGTTGAACAAATGTCCATGTATGAAGGACAGAACATGTTATGTAATCTGACAAATTTTAATTGTAAGCCATCTGAGATAAGGATTGGATCTTGATTGGTCTACTTTCTGACACAGCATGATTGAGAATGTTGATAGAATTATACTAGTGAAATATGTTCTAATACTGCAATCAAACTGCAAACCAGCAAAATATATAGAAATGTATTTAAAATTAGGTTTCTGTAATTAATTTTGTATAGTTATATGCTTTTGCTTATAGAAACAGAAATTTACCAAATCCAAGTATCAATCCCAAATTCTAACTGACCATACAGAGCTTTATTAAGAGAAAATCCAAGTTCTATAGACAAGCAGAAATAAAATTCCCTGATACTTGAGTGCTAATAAAAAGGAAATGTATTCTCAATAACTGTGTTAATTTAAAAAAACTAGCATGTTGAAAAAAGTAACTCAAATTCACTTACTGATGTTCTACAGAATTATGATTAAGTAATCTGTAGAATATGCTAAACTCCAGAAGAGTCAGTTTCATTCATTCAGATACTATTGGGTGCTCACCTTTAGAAGCAACAAAATTTTGATTTTATGCATACATGTAAGTATGTATGCAAAAAAAACAGGGAACAGAGGTTAAGGGTGAGAACTATCAGGAAACAGAAACACTCAGGCTGATATCACGGTACAAAGGAAGGTAGTGAGATCAAAGGAAAGGCCAGGAAGAATATCTAAATCTCAGATTAAAGAAAACCCTTCAGGGTGACTTGTATAAGTGGCTTCATAGACACTTCATAAACATAATAAGTGGTCATGAGCAGGCAGAGTAAGAATATAACGCAAGACTGCGTAAAGTCAAGAGTTCTAGGAAGATAAGGAAAGCAAGAATATTGTTTCTAGAGGTGTAATACCACCAGTTTGCGCCAACAGAAAGTTTCCTTGAACAGAAGTTGGAAAGAGTATAGCAAAGAAATCACAATATGCAGCCTACAAAAAATTAATCGTATTATCAACTTGGGCATTAAATCTTCTAAGTTTGAAAGGTCTCTTTGGAGAGAGGAAGGAAGTAGGCAATTCAGCGTGATGCTGGATAGACATACATTTACATTGCACTAATGGCATATATCAGCAAGGGTGGATTTTTTGACTTTGCCAGCAGGTTCTCTTTTACTGTGGTTGCTCAACACTAGTTGTAAGGAGCAAAGCCTATAGAATGATGTGCTTTTGTGAAAGTAGATTAATTATTAGATTTTACTGCTCAGGCATGTGTTACCTATTGGCATATGGTGCTCTGAGTCAGCCTTAACACAGAGGACCATTCAACAAAAATGTCTCAGCTTCAGAGACTAACATTTAAGATGTGGCAAGTTTTTAAGAACTTCAGCAGAAGCACAACTGTTCACAGTATCTGTCACATGTACACCTAAAGAGGGTGAAATATCACAGGGGACACATGTTTTTGTATGTTTAACAAAATTAAATGTTGAAAAAGAGTTAAATACTATGAAGATGTACCTTGTCCATAATGCCCATTGCCTTGATTTTTGCAGATTCACTACCCAACTCACTAAGTTGATGCTTTCCCAGTAGCAATTCTTGTGGAATCTCATCATCATCACCTTAAAAGAAAATAATTAAAAATTAACAATCACATTTCTAATAAGACTTCAAGGAAACCAGTATTTTACAGTCAATATGAAAAAGCCAACTGAAGAAAAAGAACTCATTTTCCAAATAACTAGCATATAATAGTTCCATCTAATGAAGACTGTTAATGACAACTTTTGGTTGTGTTAAAATGACTACTTGTTAAATATGACTGAAAGTCATAAATTAAAAATATTTTTAATCCAAGGTTGTAGACACCATAGCTGTAGTGATTTGCTTACTATGTTCCTCCCCTTGTTCTAATCTTGTGACAAAGATGGTAAGAAAAAAATTAATGAATGCTCCATTATCCATTTCAAAATCATCTTGGTCATCTTGGTGAACCTGAACTTCATCAGACATATGCTAAACTGGCTTAGTTTCTACTGAAATGGATAAGGAGCATACAGTGATTCAGTGTCTCACCCATAAGTGCACAAGCACTCTGCTGCTGAATTGAATAATCAACCTCTGTTGGGCCAAAGGCCACAACAGATGCAAAATTATGTGCCTCAGAAATTACTGGCAATAAAACCATCTTATGTTAGTATTGTTTACAAAGATATATTTGACAGAAGAGGTACCCTTTCCACTTTAAGGGACTATTATTTGTCTTATTGTGATTTATGTCCCTTTTGGATGCTGCAGAGAGGAAGAAGGATATTCTTCCTGTAGTAGCAAGTGAAATTGGAAAGGTAAAGGCCTTCACTAAAGGTAGAAGCCATATAAATGCAGTATACTGTAGTGTGTATCACATGCAATTAAATAACAAAGAAGGAAGTTTGAAAATACTGAGATGCAAATTTCCTTCTTATGTTTCTGATTGGGGAAAGCATTTTGGAACTTTCTGACATATTACCAAAAGCTGTAAAATCCATGTCTTCTAAATTTTCCAAAATATTCTCTATTGAAGCAGTAAATCTTTTGAAAGTAGAAGAATCCATCATTTCTGGTGAAAAAGAAATGTATATATAATTATTTTATATTCAAACCAGAAAATACAAACTATAGAAAAAAAATATTCTAAAATTACCTTCAGGTGTTAGTTTAGGTTCGTAAGCTTTCCTCTTTTTTTGTTTTTCTTTTTTCTTCATTTTTCTAGCCACTAATTAAGAGAATAAAGGACTGTTTACACTTTTTATGCTTATATTCAATACTACATGTAAAGATGTTTATTTTAAAATGTTTAACATATACTTTAAAAATGCACTAGTATTACGGAAGAAAATAATTTTTTTAAAACAATCAGTTACCCTCACTGAGACTAGGAAGAGGAGAATAATCATCCATATCAGAGTCATTGGGACTGCGATTACGATAACGGCTACTACCAGAAGTTCTCCTTCCTTCATGACAATAACCACTTCTCCTATGGTCACCAGAGCTTCTTCTATCATGTTCTTCATACTCCCAAGCTTCATCTCTATCCTTTTTATGTCTTTTACGAGATGCTAGAAATTAAATGCATTTCCATTATAAGGACAAATATTCTACTTTTAATAGCTCAAAATTATACATTTGCAAGTTAAACACTATCATATAGATATTCTGTAAAACACTCTAAAACTATAATATAAAAATCTGTTATGACATTATTCTAACAATTTCTTTTGAATTACATGAAAACTGTACCTAAAACTGGGAAAGACAAGCAAACATTTAAAAATACAAATTTACAGGGCAGTTGTTATTTTAAACAAAGTCGGGAAAATAGAACAAATCAAGTTTCATCCTTTTAATAAGAGAACACTGAGCTAATTTCTTCAGTTATCTAAATTCTGACTATTACTGGGTGTCAGTGTTCCAATTCAGTGATTGCTTTGCCCATCTAACACAGCAAGGTGCAGTGAGCCTTGGCAATCTAGTTACTTCAAGATATTCTGTTTTGCTAAGACAACTAAAATTTTGTCTTGATATATATTTCCAAAGATTCAGTATAAAGGAGAAAGTTGGAGTCACAATCCTCAGCCAGGTAGCAAGTATATACCACAGAAAGTTATTATAATCAGTTTTCAGTCAGGACCAAAAAACCTTGCACAACTGAATGTTGAAAAACTGGGATAAATGTTCTATACAAAACCAGAAACTTGATAGAAATAAAACGTGTGTGTATGGAAGAGAATGGAGACTTCTTTGTTTTCAAATACAGTCCTGAAGGGGCAAGAGTGATAAGATGTAATAGGAAAAAGATATGGAGGAGGTAATTTCATCCATGAAATCAGTCAACTCTCCATTATCTAAGGTAACAGGATAACAAAGAGATGTCTAACAGACTTTGCTGTGAAAATCAAAATGGCTTCAAAACATTATAATCTAGACTGGAAGAGATTATCATTCATGTGAACTTGCATATAACAGCCCTGACATCTCTGTGTCTCTACCAAAGCCTCCTGAAATTTAGATACTGTATAGAGGGTTGTTTCTGAGCAAAATGGCTCCAAGCATTCAGACTGGAACAGAACTGACAAGTTCTTTCCATAACCCCAGTTTATGGAGAAGAATAGGAAACATACCAGAATATAGTTACACCAGGATATAGTCAGTAGTCAGTTCAGGCTCAGAACTAATGAAACCAACATTGAATCCGAGGTGATACTAATGCTCTGCACTGCACCCTAGAGGGCTTCCACTTCTGAAAACTTCTACACAGAGGTGGTTCAAGTATTTAATAACTTAGTTTATGTTTTTGAGTTGTTCTGCTTATGGATCAGACTTGCTTCTGGAGGCAGTAAAATCATGTTCACAAGTCCTGAGCTACTAACACTGTCAATTCTAAAATTCTTTTCCCCCAGGAGACAGTATTTTGTGGAGGTAGATGAAATCTGTCTCCACAGTTTACAAATCATCAGTATCAATTTATGCTCTGTAGGACAAATTCTGACCCCAGCTACATCTCCATGAGAAAAGTCACTTCCAATATTGCTTTCCAGCAGAAATTTAAACTGAGCAGTTTATCAATGCTGCAAAACAAAACAGAATGTGTTACAGTTGTATTGGCTCTGCAAGGCAATTAACATGTACATGGGAACAGCTACTCACGATCAGTAATTGCTCTACAAAGTTTATTTTGAAGTAGATAAAAATGATTAAAAATGTAAGTACTAATAATATTTCAAGAGATACTATTAATTTTATACATAGACTACTCAGAATTTAAACACCCAATTTCCTTCTGAATTCTGCGAAACACTTATTAAATAAACACATTTAGCACTGTATGAGAATTATTTCATCAATTTTTAGTTCTCATCATTTAATTTAACGGAATGCACTTTCTTAATGAGATACTAAAAGAAATTTATCTTCTTCTATAACAATCACTATTTCATATTTTTAAAGTCCAATTTTAGACAACCAAAAGAATTTTGAAATACATATTTGTAACAGTACAAATCTATTCAGTGTACTTGTCATAGATCTTTCATTCTCTTGATCATTTTGTCTCGTTTTACCTCAATTCAGTTCTACAGTATCCTTTGAGAAATATTATAATTTATTTTTAACCCAAATGTCCTCAATGAATTGTTTAGAATGATGGCCAGATCTCTTGAGTGGATATAGTGAATCTAGAATCCCTTAAAGCATATAATTACTGTGAAAGTTTTCCTTAATTTGCTTTACTTCACATTTAAGAATTTCAACAGCCACTGTGGCTTATATGTACTACTTACATTCAAAAGCTTCTTCACTGTCATTGTCTTCATCAGAACTGATTTCAGCATATTTTGGTTTCTCATTAACTGTGCTACGTTTGCGCTTGTTCATTTTCACACGTTCACAAAGCGGCATGGTGGATTCAATTTCTGCCAGGAGCTCAGGAGGCAATTCCTTTAACACTGACTGATCTATGCTACCTATTAATGGAGAACAAGAAGAGTAAATGTGAACCTGAAGATAATAATAAGGGTTCAACACCATAGTCCTTTCTCAGAACTGCTTACAGTAGATCTAATAATAAATAATACCACAGTTAGATATACTTGGATGCATTTGACAGCCCTTTCTAAAGTTGAATTTATTGTTCACACTGCAATTAGAAATTAACATAATGAATTGCATACACATCTCCTTCAATAAAATATTTTGTCAGTAATATAAACAAATTCAAATTGGTGAATTTCCTTTGTAAAAAGACATTCTTGCTCTACTTCCACAAAATTTAGTATTATTTTGGTTCATTCTCTGAATTCAACAGGTTTTCTAACAGTGTATGTAAATTAAGGATTCATTATGCCTAATTAATAGTTCCTTTTATTCTCATTCAAATTATTTAGTGTACACAAGACAGTAATCTTCCTATTTTCACCAGTTAGAGACAATCTGTGGCAGAATCTGTGGGATCTTATCCCTAAATACAGACAAAATCATTGACTTTTTTTTTCTTACTTTTACTAGTAGTTTTATAATGAAACATAAATTTTTGCTTGATTTTGTCACAAAGCATAATTGGAATATTTTTTATTTAATATATACAAACAGCAAGCTGGACCACATAAAGTTTCTCTTCCACAGAGGTAAATACTTAGATATTATCACATGATTCTCATCACATTTTGAAATTATGATTAGGCCCATATAGTCAGTATAAAGGATGTCTTATCTTTATTTATCAAAGAACCTATTGCACAGATTTTAAGATTATTGGACTAAACTGCTAACCTTTTTCCAACAACAGAACAAATACCTTTGTCATAAGTGCCTCTCTCTCTCCTTCCCAAGAAATAGAGAGGAAATCTACTGCTAATTGCTATACACACAAATTCTCCAAGAAATCATCTGTATGATAATTCACTTTTTAATTGCATTAACTATATAACTAACATAGCTTTCTAAAATTTATTTCCATTTTTACACAAATATCCCATTTTCTAATCCAGGATTAGTCCCCCCCCCGCCCTTGAAACAACTTTAACTGGAATTAGAAGAGCCTGAATAAGAGAAAATAGTTTCCAGCAATAATTTTTTAAAAGTCTCATATATTACTGGTTTCACATATCTCTACAATGAAACTATGATAAGAAGATTATTTTTATATAATTCTCAGATATGTTCATCAAGTCATCCCATTAGATTGCATTTTTAAAAAGATTTAACTTAAAATATTGAGGTTTTCAAACTGAGGTAGGAAAATATCTATAAAGTAAAACTGATAGCAAAAGTTGTCCCTGCTTCCCCCATGCTGTGGTCACTCATTATTTTGCTTTAAATTTCCATTCTTTGATAATTACCATCTGATAAAGTTCTCAAATTCTCAATATTGCTTTTAAAAATGCTAGAAAACATTTCACAGTGTGGTTTACCATGGCACTTTGAAATGATTATTCTTTGTGGACTGGGCACTAGATTGAAGATAGGCAGAAATATGACAGCATGGACAGATCAGTTCCTCTGTGTGTATCAGCAGCTGACTGGATGCCATGCAGGTCTAATCTGGATGCTGCATAGCCATGTCTGAGTAGTGGTAACCCTACATTAATACTCTTTGCATGCCTATACAGTGTCTGAAGAGAGTTAGCTTACATTCAGATCCAGACTAGAAGAAAATTTGCACATATATGTTCTAAGACAATGTCCACAGGTGAAATTGCTAGAGGACCTCAGATCCTGGGTTTTTTAACACATATTCTCAACTTCATGCACTTTTGATAATTTCATTGAAATCAGGGGGACAACACAAAGCATAAAGCCTATAGCAAATCTGGCCAAATACACTGCAAAAAACAGCTGCAAGTAAAGGAGCAAAAGTTGCATTAAGATTCATACAGGTGCTTAAAAGCTAGATGGGCTAGATGTACTTACACTAACAGGAGTATTTTTCTACAAATATATCTTTAAACCTCTCCTAGTCTACAATGAAAAGTAAATTTAAAAACATAATAACTAGTAAGACAGAATGCTTGGAGAGGAAATAAGAAAAGGAAACAAATCAGTAATGGATTGTATACCAAGCTTGGCAAGAGTTCCATAACCAAATTCTAATTCAATTCAATTTCAAACTCAGTTTCAAAATTATGCCTGAATGTTTCATGATGTAATTTTAAGATTGTGAACATTGCTTTGAGGAACTGTTAGAACAGAATTCATGCTTTATTTTCCTAATACTGTGCACAAAGAACATATCAGTAACATGAAAGGTGATATATTTTAAGTAAAAAAACCCTAAAAAAACACTGACCAAAACAAGAAGCAAAAAACACAAGCTACTACTCTCCTACCTCCTAGGAATATCTATTCTTGCTTTCCTTATTGATTTTGTTCTGGGGGTAGAAGACTACTCAGTCTTTAAAAATAAGTCAATTACCACAGTGTTAATTATACATCAATGAAAAATAAAAATGTAAATAATGTAAATATTTGGAAAAATAACTATATTTCCTTTTCAAAAGTTCCAAGTATTCTATGTTCTACAATGCAATTTCAACTAATGCTTAAACTGCACTCTATCCTGTTACAGATATTTCAGATGACAGTATAAGTTTCCCCCTTTTTCTTTTATTAAGGAATATGAAAAGCTTTCTTTCTTCAATAAAGAAGGGAATAGCAGAAAAGACAATAATAAAAGTATTGTAAAGAGCTCTATATTGCTATATGTATTCTATAGACAAGGCAGCACCAGATGTGACTAAAAGAAGGTTCTGGGGTGAGTTTGGGCTGTGCAGGGGTTCCCATGACCACGAACACCTAAGCAGCAGCCTCGTGTGGACCCGAGGGCCCTCAGCAGACAAACAGGTGAGGAGGGGTGGTGCCGGGAGCGACTGTGAGACTTTTAAATGGTTCCAGGCAGCGTGAGCGCCCTAGAGTATGGTGAACAGGAGTGGGAAAACAGGAGCATGGCATGTCAGTGAGGGTGTGGCACAGCAGTTTGCAAGGCAGTCTATGCAGGCAGGGCAAGCAGGAAGGGATCCTCTCTGACCATCCGAGAGCAGCCAATGGAGGTAGCAAACAGACTCAGTAGCTGGTAAGGAAGAGCAAAGAGATCCTTTCAGCCCAAGTCTTATTAGTATATTAGTTTAAGCTTCCTCAGATATGGTGTTGACACACCGTAAAACTCAATCCCCTGTAGCTGCAAGAGTCACTGTGCCAGCTGTGCCAGAGGCCTCCAGCCAGCCAGACCTTCTGATGGTAGACACAGTTCTCCAGGTGGCAGGTTGCCAGGAGTGCCTCATGCCTTTTTTCAAGGCTGGGGCAGAAAAACAGTTATTTTGCAGAAGGTGTGCCATGCTTGAAGAGCTGTGTCACCAGGTGAAGGAGCTACAGGAAGAAGTGAACAGGCTATGTAGTATTCAAGCAAACAAGCAAGAGAGAAACCGATTATATTCAGAGATGCTACAGCCTCTAGACTCTCAGGAATCTGGAACCTTCATTGTAGTGGAGAAGCAAGTGGACTCAGAACCCTGCAGGGTAATTAGTCAAAGGACTGTTAGTCAAGGGTCTGTTAAAGATGAAGGCTGGAAACTGGTCACTGCATATACCAGGAGGAAGGTTCTTCCTCTTTCTCAAAATTTGAAAGGCAGGACTGGCACCTTCTACAACAGGTATGAGGCTCTGGAACTAGAAAGTCAGACAACTGAAGAGGTGGGCGAAGGTCCTTCTGGGGTAGTGGGGCCACCTAAAACAACACCACCTGTATCCCACATCAAGACCTCCGCTGTTAAGAGGAAAAGAAGGGTAGTCGTAATAATAGACTCCCTTCTAAGGGAAAGGGAGGGTCTGATGAGCAGACTGGACCCAACTCACAAAGAAGTCTTCTGTCTCCCAGGGGCTCAGGTAAGGGACATTACTGGAAAACTCTCCAGTCTTGTAAGGTCCTCTGATTACTATCCATTATTGGTTGTTCAAACTGGCAGCAAAGAAATAACAAAGAGAAGTCTGAGGGCAATCAAAAGAGACTTCAGGGCCCTGGGACGACTGATAAAGGGATCAGGAGCACAGGTAGTGATTTCCTTGACTCTTCCGGCAACAAGGATAATAGGAATAGGCAGGTCCATCAGGTCAATGAGTGGCGCCAAGGTTGGTTTAGTCAGAAAAATTTGGGGGGTTTTGGACAATGGGATGATCTACTCAAAGAAGAGGCGGAGGTGTGGCACTGTATGTAACAGAAAGGTTAGAATGTCTGGAGCTCACAGTTGGCAATGGCACAGTTGAGAGCCTCTGGGTAAGAATCAAGGGGCAAACAAATAATACCAATGTCACCATGGGAGTCTGCTATAGACCTCCCAGACAGGATGATGACACTGATGAATTATTCTTTGAGGAACTAAGGGACACTTCCAAGTCAACTGCCCTTGTCCTTACAAGGGACTTCAACTTGCCAGAAATAAACTGGGAGCATCACACAGCTGGTACAACCTGGGCCAGAAGATTCCTAAAAAACCCGAATGACAACTTTATGGAACAGGTTCTAAGGGAGTCAACTTGGAAGGATGCCCTCCTTGATCTGCTGTTTGTCAACAGGGTGGATCTTGTGAGCAAAGTGGGGATTGGAGGCCATCTTGGCCACAGTGACCACAAGGAAATCGAGTTTAAAATCTCTGTTGACAGGAGGAAAAGTGCCAACAAAACCTCAACCCTGGCCATGAGGAGAGCAAACTTCAGGCTGCTCAGGGAATTAGTGAGTGAGGTCCTTTGGGAAAATGTTTTTGCAGGTGCTGGAGTCCATCAGTGCTGGTCACTTTTCAAACATCACCTCCTAAGGGCACAGAAACAGGCAATTCCCAAATGTTGGAAGCCAAGCAGGCGAGGCAGAAGGCCAGCTTGGCTGAGCAGGGATCTTCTCTTGGGCATAAGGCAAAAAAGGAAGGTGTATGCCCAGTGGAAGCAAGGTCAAGTGACATGTGAAGAATTCAGCGATGCT